ACGACGACGACGACGGCGGCGGCGGCGACGGCGACGACGACGGCGGCGACGGGCGACGGGCGACGGGCGACGGCGACGGCGACGGGCGACGGGCGACGGGCGACGGTCGGCGAAGGCGGCGGGGGCGATGGCGTCGGCGGCGGCGGCCGTGGCGGCGGCAGCGCGGGCCACGCCCCGTGGCCTCCAGCGGGTCGCGAGGCCCTCGGAAGCCTCCCGGGGCCCCCTCCTCCTCCTCCTCCTCCTCCTCCTCCTGCTCCTGCTGACCCTCCTCTCCTCCTCCTCCTCCTCCTCCTGCTCCTCCTCCTCCTCCTCCTCCTTCTCCTCCTCCCGGTGCTGCTGACCCTCCTCCTCCTCCCTCCTTCTCCTCCTCCTCCTCCTCCTCCTCCTCCTCCTCCTCCTCCTCCTCCTCCTCCTCCTGCTCCTCCTCCTCCTCCTCCTGCTCCTCCTCCTCCTCCTCCTCCTCCTCCTCCTCCTCCTCCTCCTCCTCCTCCTCGGGCCCCCAAAGGACGCGAGTGCGGCCTCGGGCGCCCCAAGACCTGCAGGAAGCTGCACTCCAAAGCTCTCAATATCCTCATCGGCCCAGCACAGGATTCAGCAGTGGGAATCGGCCCTCAATATCCTCATCAGCCCTCAATATCCTCTTCGGCGGACGAGGCCGCGCGCCTGGCCGTGCCTGAATCAAGGAGGAGGAGGAGGAGGAGGAGGAGGAGGAGGAGAAGGAGGAGGAGGAGGAGGAGGAGGCGGAGCAGGAGGAGGAGGAGGAGGAGGAGGAGGCGGAGCAGGAGGAGGAGGAGGAGGAGGAGGAGGAGGACAAGGAAAAGGAGGAGGATCAGCAGGAGGAACTGGAGGAGAAGGGGGGGAGGAGAGGTGATGGAAAAGGAGGCGGGTGGGAGGAGTAGGAAGAAGTCGACGCCCGCGGCTGGGATCTCACGTCCAATCAGGAAAAAAGAAGCATCATCACAGTTTGCCTCGGGCGTGCGCTGCTTCCCTGGCTCGCCCCTGTGATCTTACCCAGTCGATTGGCATCGCGACCACCCCGTTGGGACCTCCGACCCCGTCGCGTCCCGGGGCGGCCGATGGCCGCAGGCCCGCGGCCTAGAAGGCCACGAGGCCCCGCCACGCAGGCGCGCGTGCGCGCGCGCCCTGGGCGGCGCGGCCTGCCCGAAAACCTGCGCGGGGGGCGCGAAGAGCGCCCCTCTGGGCGCCCAAGCCAATCCACGGCTTTACTGCTTTCAAGGGGCCCAAGAACACACAAATAAATACACACAAATCAAATGATTCCCCATATTTTTCCATATTTTCTGGGTTTCTGTCTTCCCGCCCAATTCCGATATTTTCCCATATTTTCTTAGGGATCGACAATTGATTGTGTCTGTGTGTTTTTTCCCCTCCTGATGCTTTACCCATCGGAAACTACCATGCGAGCACGCCGAAGACAAGACGCCGGCACGCGCCCGCGCGCGCGCGGGGGTTGCGCGCTGGGCGCGACTCTGGCTGGCGTGGCCAAGCGGCGCGCGAACCTCGGGGTGCCGGGGGTGCGATCGCGCACTCCGGGCACCCAGGCCATCGCGGCGACTTCTCGTTCATCACTCGCAGCGTACCGCACAAGCGCGCGCGCTCTCGCCGCGAGTGGTCAAGGCGACGCGGGCCACTGTCAAATCGCGCGGCGTGCGCCGAGGGCCCCGTCGGGCCTCGAAGCCAACATGTCAGTCCTCATCCCCCGTCGTTCCCAGAGCGCGCAAAGCGCCGCGGACGACGCGGGTCACCCGCGCCCGCGCGGGCGCGCGCGCAGGGCTGAGGCGCGCAATCCGCGCGCCACGCTCAACGTCAGATGTCTGCGCGCCACGGGCATCGTGCCCGTGCCCCAACCCCTTGACGCTCGCAGCGCAGAGCCTGCTATAAAACAGGGCTAGGATCGGGATAAATCGCTCCAGAGCGTTCCAGAGCGCTCTCAGAGCGTTCTGGAACGCTCTGGAGCGGCCGCGGCGCCCAATATATCCTCCAAACCCGTCGATTCTCAGAGACTTCGAGTTATCCCGATCCGATTTTGTCCCGATCTTCGCGTCGTTTGACGTGCCCCAGTCCCTTGACGCTCGCAGCGCAGAGCCTGCCATGCCGGCGCGGGCACGGGCGACGCCGGTCGTGCGACGTTCGCGAGGCGCGCGCCGAGAGCCCACTCGAGCCTGCAAGCCTCCGTTCCACCTCGGCAGCGCAGAGCATGCCGCGAAGGCGCTCGAGCGCAAGGCGGCGGACACCCAGTCGGCGCAGCAGCGCGCCGAAGAAGCCGCCCCGACGAGATCAACGCGCGTTGCCCTCCTCCCTCCTCCTCCTCCTCCTCCTCCTCCTCCTCCTCCTCCTCCTCCTCCTCCTCCTCTTCTCCGCCTCCTCCTCCTCCTCCTCGAGGGCTCGAGGGGGCCCTGGGTCTCAAGTGGTCTATCTGCTCCCCCCCCCCGAATGGCCTCCCGAAGCCCCAAGATGGCCCCAGAGGGTGCCCGCGGGAAGAAGCCCTGGAGAGGCCCTGTGGCGGCCACAGGCTGGCCCCGGCGGCGCCCGAGAGCGGTCCACGCACGCCCCGACACGCGCTTGGTCCGTTTCCGACAGGAGGCCAGCTAATCAGTGACATCGTTTTTGTTCTGTCATCGATGGCCTCCAAGATGGCCTCAAGAAGCGCCTCCAATAGTAGCACGAAGAATGCCTCCAAACCTGCCAAAGATGCCCCCGTGGTCACGGCGCCTCGTTTCTGGGCGGGCCCGCTCTCCATTTCCAGAAGCCCCGCAAGGCCCGCGCGATTTGATGCGACTCCGCACGCATCGATGCGTTCGTTCCTCTACGTTTCGGGCCAGAGCTCGGGTCTCCCGGCGTTCGCTCGTGGGGACGATCCTGGCACCCCCAGAACGCTGACGGCGAGGCGCGGCTGCTGGAGCGCATCCCGAGGCAGGGGGACCTGCCGAAACCGACCAGAACGCCCGAACGCCACCATCGTAACCCTCCCCCGCTCCCCCTGCTGCCTGAGGGGGTCCGTCAGGGGGGGACCGGCCCAGGGGGGGGAAGAGCAGCGACCTGGAATCGGCGATGCATCGCCGACGGGCAGGCGATAGGCCCCCCACAGCGAGTGCCCGCGCTCCTGGGCGGAGTGGGCTCTCGGGCCCCTGTCGGCGACGAATGGCGGGCGACGGGGGGCCGATGGCATGCCCCCCCCCCCCCCCGAGCCTATCCCCCCCCCCAACGCTGCCCCTAAGCCCTGGAGCCTACCCCCCCATCCCAACGCTGCCCCCCCCCGAGCCTATCCCCCAACGCTGCCCCCCCGAGCCCATCCCCCCCCCCAAACGCTGCCCGCCCCCCCCCCCCGAGCCTCTCCCCCCCCGGGGCCTATCCCCCCCCCACACGCTGCACCTGAGCCCTCGAGGATCGAGGCGGGATGGTCTCGGGTGCAGGCTGCTGCGAGTGCTCCGCCTCCCCCTCTAAGGGCTCCGGGGGCCTCCGCGGAGCTCTCTGGGGGCCCGGGCTGCGGGGCGGAGGCAGCGCACGCCGGCGATGGTTGCCCGACCGCTGCACCTTGCGACTTGCCACCCCCCCCGAGCCTGTCCTGGGCATAGGGGGCCACAGGCGAACCCTACCCCTGATCCTCCACGACTTCTGAGGGGGAGGGTGGGGTTCACTTCGTTCGGGAGCTCTCGAGCGAAGTGGACCCCACCCTCCCCCTCAGAAGTCTTGGGGGGTAGGGGTAGGGTTCGCATGCGGCCCCCTATGGGGAGCCCGAGAGTCGGCTACACGCAAGAGTGGCCCTGGGCAAGAGTGGCCTTTGGTGCGCGGCCCCACGGGGGACGCGGGGTGGCCAGACCTGAGCGCGCAGGCCGCTGCTAACGCTTCGCGCTCAGCGATCGGGGGCCCCATTGCGCCCGCACCAAAGGTCACTCCGGCGAAAGGTCACTCTTACGTCTAGTCGAGAGAGTACCGACAGCGTTGCTCCCTGGACTTCTCTCCCGGGGTGCCTGGCTGCAGGCCTCCCAGGTGGGGTCCGAGCAGACGGGGTCGGAGGCCCGCGCCGCATCGCCGACACATCGCCGATACATCGGCGATGCGTCGGCGACGGCGGCGCCGAGGACACCGGGCTCCTCACCGAGCCGCATCGGGGATGCACCGGCGATGCGGCGCGACCCTCCGACCCCCCCTCTGGGGAGGCCTCGAGGTGTGGCCAGGACTCCGGGGCGGATCCCGGCAATATGGCGACGGTGGGCCTCCTCCCGGGCCGGCCCCGTCGGGCGGCGGCGAGGCGAGGGGCCGCGGCATCGGGACCTTTCCCCTCCTCTGGCACATCACGCCCCTGAGAGGCCGTGCTTCTCGGGCCTGGCGGTGGCCTGGGCTATCGCGCCCGCCCGCCCGCCCGCCCCCCCCACCCCAACCCCCAGGATCGGGTCGGGCGAAAGGGGGGGATAGCAAAGGGGGGGGTTGAGAATCAGCTCACGCAGCTGATTCTCCCGGCGCCTCCCGGCGCCAGAGGCGGCTATGTATCGAGGAATGGGCCCCTCGGTGAGGCCGAAACCAGCTGCATGCAGCAAGTTTCGTGACCCCCCCTTTCCCAATCCCCCCCACCCCCCCCCAGGATATCCGACCTCGTCGGTCGCGCAGGTCCGGAGGGGGTATACGAGGTACTGGCTTGCGCGGGCAAGCGCGGGGCTGCCCAAGACGAAAAAGGGCAGGATATCGACCCCCCCCGGCGGATAGCCTTGGCCATCGCGGGAAGATGGCCTCGAGCTCGACGACGAGCGAGGGGGGAAGTGAGAAGGAGGACGCCATCTCAGAAGGCGGCAGGGCTTCGCAGAAGCCCTCCGGCCTTCCGCTTCCGAGAAAGCTTCCACGTCGTCGGAGAAGGCCCACCAAACGAATGCAGAAAGCCTGGGCCGCGAGGCACGGGACACGAGGGCACCCTCGACTCGGCACGACGTCGACCTACAAATCAGGGGCGACTGCAACGCTGCCCCCTGCTTTGCCCCCCCCTCCTGGGGCATCCTGCGCAGGCCCGTCTCGGGGAACTCCGGGCTCTGCCCGGGCGGCGCCACGTTCCCCAGGGAGGGCGCCAGCACGCGCGTCCTCTGGCCGGGCTTGCCGCGCCAACGAGGGGGATGCTCTGTGTTCGGCTGCGGCAGGTTCGTGCGGAGTCGGCGCGCGCAAAGGTCTGTTGACACCGTGTCGATCCTTCAAACTTGAATCGATCGCGGCCCCGATCGTTCTCAAGGTTGCATTCCGTCGGGTCCAGTGGCGTCACTGCGTCCCTTGATACTTCCGCGTCGCAGAATTCAAACTTGAACGCCTTCGCTGGCGTCGCCGGCACGCCAACGCCGCATGAACCTACCGTGCACGCAAGAGCGACCCTAGGGCCCTAGGGAAGAGCGACCTCTGGTGCGCGACTTTCGGGTTTCACGGGGGAGCCAAACCCAAGCGCGCAAGACGCTGCTATCACATCGTGTCATATCGTGTCCTACCATCTGGGGGCCACAGCGTGCCCATATTTAAGGTCACTCCAGCGAAAGGTCGCTCTTGCGTGTAGCCGACGTGTGTCTCGTGCTGGTACTACGGCATGCTGGTGTCGTGGCGACTCCTTCCCAGACAGGCCCGCATCACGAACAAAACCACGACAGGAAATTTCTGGGCAACTTTTCGGCCACCGGGGCCCTCACCGGGCCCCGGGACCGTCAACAGAACAGCTCGGTATGAAGAAACAGATCTGGGAAAAGGGTTGGACTTCTGGGGACCCCGTGCTGAGAAACAAGACATCAGATGTCTGGGCGGTTCTTCTCCTCCTGCAGCCATGACTTCCCAGTCAAGGAACCTCGACACAGCAAGCGCCAGCTTGCCAACTGATGAGAACGAGACTCCGTGCTGCAACAGCTGACCCGGGAGGGGGATGGGGGCCCACGCTGCAACAGCCGATCCTCGTGTAGCGCCGACTTCTGCGCTGGTTTCCGACCGAAGCGGTCGTGTTGCTTTCCGACAGCGCCGACCGTTCGACGTCGGCCGGTCCATTCCGCGCCGCTGGCGGCAACCAACGCGCCCGCGCTGTGGTCGCCGCCGCTTCGGTGCGGCACGAAGCCACCACAAGGGGTGATTGTGCGGCCCGGCAGGCTGGGCCACTGCACAAACCCCGGAACGGGAAAAGATCTACAAGCAACATCAATTCGGGGATGGACAGACCCCCCTTTAGTAAAACGTGGTTTAGTGAAAACGACCTGAGGCCCAAACCTGGCGGGCACAAGCCTGGAAAATAACGGCCACGGCGCCCTCTCGAGAACCGAAAACGGACAATTCACTAATCGACGTGTCACTGTTGGGGGTTCTGTCCACCCCCGATCAATCAGCATCTAGTCGGGAAACCGGTTCAAATCGGAACATGCGTCGGATCGGGCTTCGTCGGGACGGGGTCGAGTCGAATCGGATCGGCTGCGCCAAGAAACATAATGATCAGATCGAATCGAATCGGAAAGTGCGTCGGGACCGGAGCCGCATCGGATCTTACGAATATCATAATCGACTCGGATCGGGCCGGCCAAAAGCGATATCGAATTGGATCGATCGGATCGGCATGGACCCTGCACAGGCAGACTGCATGGTTGGAGGTGGACTATCCGTGTATAACTACACGCCGAGAACATGACTTGAGCAGAAAAGGTTGTGATATTACCCTCCTCCCACCTGTCCTCCTCCTGCCCCCTCCTCCTCGTCCCCCTGCTGCGTCTGGCCGGCGAGGCCTCCTCGAGCCCGCCCCTGCAGGGCTGCTCCGTGGCTGCCCCCACGAGGGGAGGCCCCCTGCAGAGAGGAGGAGGGCCGTCGCACAGATGAGCTCCGCTCGTGGCGCGCCCGCGGGTCCTGGAGCACATGTCCTCTACGCTGTTCAGCTCGATCCTGCTGCCGTCCAGCACGTAGCCGCCCGCCGCGGTGCACTGCCTCGTCAGCGCCGAGGCCACCCGCCTCTCTGCCCTGGCCTTCTCGTCGTTCTGCTTCCGGATCCACACCCACTCGCCGTCCCTCTCGCCCTCCCTGCCAGGCAGGTGTCGCGGAACGGCGCCCCGGTTGGCCAGCACGAAGGGCAGCTCCCGGGGCAGCTCCGACTCCTTGAGCGCGCGCCACCGCAGGGGCGACGGCTGCAGCGGCGACTCCTCCGCCCTCGCGAGGTCGAGGATGAGCTGGCCGGGATCGTCGGTGGCGCTCAGGCACAGGCCCGGCGAATGCAGGCTCTCGAAGCTGAAGCTGTGGTCCACTCCCCCCGACAGGCGCCAGCGCGAGCTTGGGGCCTCCGGATCCTCCGTCAGCACGATGCTCGTCAGCCGGACCTCCGGCTTGCCCAGCTCAGAGAGCCCGTGGCCCGGCCCGCGGCCCGCCGGCTTGGCCTTGGCCTTGGCCTTGGCCTTGGCAGCGACGCCCACGTACCTGCTCACCGCAATTTCCAGGAGGAGGAGGAGGAGGAGGAGGAGGGGGAGGAGGAGGAGGAGGAGGAGGAGGAGGAGGAGGAGCAGTAACACGGGCCGAAAGAGGAAAGCCAGGAGCGCAGCAAGGGAAGGCGAGCAACCGGATCAGCGTGCCTGCCCAAGGGGGCACGTCAGCCACCGCTCGAAAGGCGAACGCAGGAGGATGAGCAGCAGCAGCAGCAGCGACGGCAGGGAAGGGACAACCATGGGGAAACCAAAAGGTACCGATACAGCTACTCCCTGGACCTCTCCCGGGGCGCGTTCTGAGCAAGATTTCGAGGCAAATTCAGCGGTGGAGACGAGGGCCTCCCGGGAGGCCCGAAAGGGGGCAGCGGGCGAAGGGCAGAGGTATGGGCACCTTGTCCTCATCCCGAACGACGGCAGGGAGGGGAGAAGACGAGCACCTGCCGGCCTTGCTCAGGCTCTCGATGCTGTAGGTGTCGCTGGACGCCTCGTGGGCCACCCGCCACTGCGCGTGGGTCACGTGAGGCCTGTCTCCGAGCACGATCGGCGCGTCTACCGCCGTCGAGGCCTCCTGGACGGTCAAATACCACCCGTGGGCCGTCGTGCTCTCGAGCACGTACACCTGTGGAGGGCGATGAACCGCGAGAAGGTACCCATCGGTCGGAGAAGTACAGGTAGAAGCATGAAGTAGGAAGGCGTTGAAAGCAGATTGGGCTCCGTCCGCGCCCGGAGGGGGACGGAAGAGGTGAAGCCACTCGATCATGGAAGTAGGAAGGCGCTTGAAGCAGATTGGAACCTGGGAATGCAAAGACACCTACCTTCAACGACCCACGGGTAGATCGGAAGCGGCCAAGAGGGGGGTGTCCAAGAGGGGGGGGTGCAAATCATGACCGGCGGCATGTGCGCGGCCCAGCGGGGGGGGGCCAGGGACGTAATGAAATAAGAAGGGGCGCCATGAAATCTGGGGAAATATCATGGCCCCCGCCATAATATCCACCCGCCCCTAGTCATCACCCCCCTCTTTTCCGCCCCCGGGCAGAGCTGCATACGAGTTTGTTCCGGTGCCCGCGCGGAGTTCTCTGGGTCGGCGCTGGAGGCGCCACCCAGTGTGAGCCCAGTGCCGACCCGAAGACTCTGCGCGCGGGACGCTTCTTCTTCTTGTTCTTCTTCTTTGTTATTCTTAGTCTTCTTCTCATTCTTACTGTTATTCTTATTCGTATTATTCCCTACCTAGGCTCTGCCTACAAGGGTTCTTACCGTCTAAGCTTAAAGGGGCCGGGCAGTGGTCCTCGCCCCGGGCGGTTCCCCCGGCATCCGCCCCGCGGTTCCCCAGTTGCGCCCCCTGGGTTCACCCAGCTTAGCTTAGCTAAGCTAAGTTTAGCTTAGCTTAGCTTATCTCATCTTAGCTTAGCTGTGTCTAGCCTAGCTTAGCTTAGCTTCGCTCAGCCTAGCTTAGCTTAGCTTAGCGTATCCCATCTTAGCTTAGCTTAGCTTAGCTTAGCTTAGCTTAGCTCAGCTATGGCTTAGCTTGACTTAGCTTAGCTTAGCTTAGCCTAACCTAGCCTAGTTTAGCTTAGCGCAGCATAGCTTACCTTAGCTTAGCGCAGCATAGCGCGGCGCAGCATTACCACAGCATTACCACAGCATATCATAGACAAGCATAGCATAGCATAGCGCAGCATAGCATAGCATCGCATTGCTTAGCAAAGCATAGCGCAGAATAGCATAGCATAGCATAGCATGGCACAGCACAGCACAGCACAGCACAGCATATCATAGCATAGCATGGCGTAGCATAGCATAGCGCAGCATAGCATATCATAGCATAGCATAGCATACCATTGCGCAGCACAGCATAGCATAGCATAGCAGATCGCAGCATAGCATAGCAAAGCATAGCATAGGAGGAGGAGGAGGAGGAGGAGGAGGAGGAGGAGGACGGCGTTTACCGTAACTACTAATATTGCTCTCCTAGGGGCTCCAACTCCTAGGTAGGGTCGCTCTGGGATAATTATGTGTATTAGCATGTTTAGTATGATTCCATCTTCTAAGTCTTATCATGGCCCTCCTTATTCTTCTTCGACGACGAACACCGCACAAGCCTAAGCCAAGAGCGCAAGGCCTCGGGATGGGAAAGACAGGGTGATGCGCTTCTGCGATCGGGAATTCCCTTGCATGTTGCTGGATCCCCCGTTTAAGAGCTTGCCTAAGGGGGCTGCCGGGACGGCAATACACACATCGGGCGGAAGGAATCGGGAGAAGCATGGAGCAGGAGGTATGTGAAATAGGTTGGGCTCCAGGCCGCACCCGCAGCAAGAACGCCCTTCCATTATTGAAGCAAGAAGGCGATGGAGGAAGCGCAGGATCTGAATTCTGAAACAGAGGCCTTCAACGACCGACAGGTCTATTCTCGGCAGCGGCTGCAAGCACCTCTCTGTGTGCGTCTCTCGAGAGCCGGAACCTCGAGCCTGCCGTGACGGGGGCACACTGAGTGGACGATCGCTCGAGACGGACTGCCCTGCCTCCAGTGCCGCCAGGCAGCCTCCCAACCGAACGGGAGGAAGGATGGGGTGGAAGGAAAGGGCCTGGCCCGAGGAGGCCACAACTGGCCCTCTTGCGGGCCGGACCGCAGGCGCGTGTGTCTGCTGCGGGACGCTCCGGATGCGGACGAGACAGCTGCCACGGTGTGGCTGACTGGCGTGGCTGCATCGACCTTCGTGCACGCATGCAAGTGCCGCGCTTCAAGCAAGGGGGGCGGCGGGCTCGCGAGCGCGCTCCCTCCCTCCCTCCCTCCCTCCCTCCCTCCCTCCCTCCCTCCCTCCCTCCCTCCCTCCCTCCCTCCTCACTGCCTACAGTCATGCCTACAGGCCCTTGTTGCAAATAGGCACTCCCCCCCCCCTTCCCTCCTTGCCGACCGGCGCGCCTACAGGCCATCCCTGCCTACTGGCACTCTCCCGTTCACTGCCTACAGTCACCCCTGCAGACCCTCCCTGCCTATAGGCACTCCCCTCTTCTCCCCCTTCTCCCTTTCCCTGCCTGCAAGCGCGCCTACAGGCCCTCCCCGCCTGTAGGCGCCCTCCTCCACTGCCTACAGGCACGCCTGCAGGCCCTCCCTGCCCACAGGCATCCGCGTTCCCCAACGGCAGCGCCCACAGGCGCTACCCGCGGGGCCTCTTCTGGCTGCGAGGCCCCGTGGGGCCCGTAGGTCGGAGGCGCCCGCAGAAGGGAGGAGGGCCGCGTACGCGCGGGAGCCGGCCCACTGTGTCACCATCCAGTGTGCAGGTCCCTCCTCCTCCCCGTGGCTGCACCGTGAGCTCCCGCCCGCTCCCCAGCGCCTCCGCCGCGTCCAGCAGCGCGGACTCCTGCCGCCGGGTGGCCTTCTCGGGAGGGCGCAGCAGAGCCTCCAGCGCCTGCCGGGCGGGGGCGTCTGCGCCGTCCCCCCTCCCCTCCTCTCCATCGTCATCTGCTCTCCTCTCCTCCTCCTCCCTCTCCTCCCCTCTATCCTCCTCCATCCTCCTCCCTCCTTCTCCTACTCTTCCATCCTCCTCCTCCTCTTCCTCCTCCTCCTCCTCCTCCTCCTCCTCCTCCGTTCCCTCACCCCCTCCGCCCACCACCAGTCTCTATTCCTCTTCCTCATCCCCCTCGTCTTCGCTCGACTAGCGGACGGTTCTAGGGGTGCCGCTGCGAAGAGGCACGACCCTCTGTATTAGGCGCGCTGCGTCTATCACTACGTCTGAGGACGTCCTTGCTGCAGTATGGCATGCACTCGCAGAACGCCCTTGCGCCAGACTGGCATGCACTCGCTAAGCCTCAGTCTAACCCCCCAAAATCTCACACTCATGTTCGAGGCTGCGGATCGTTTCGTCCTGAGACAATCGACCCTCAGAACCCTCCCACCGACCAGAAATCCCACCGACAAGAACTCAGAGGAGAGGGTGCAACAACCATAGGTTATAGAAAGCAAGCCCCCCCTCTGCTGTTCCCCTCCCCTCCTCCGCTCCCTCTCCCTCCGCCTCCTTCTCAACTCGTTACTCAGCTTCCTCAGCTTCGCCCCCCGAAGGCATGCTGCCTTCAGACAGACCATCCGAGAAGAAACCCGCACAACACATCCGCGTTGTCTCGCGCCCGGCTGTTCTTGGCCGTTTTATTCGGTTGCCTGGCTTTCACTGTGCTCGGCAGTCTGCTCTTAATTACCGGCTCCGACGACTTGTTCGTCGACATTTCTGAGAGTGGGCCCGAAGATCGTGGACATCCGGTGGTTGGGTCCAGGAGCTGCTGCCCCCCAGCTGGACTCGTTCGGTGCCCTCCCAGTGTGGAGACCCTCACCAGTCGCCCAGGACGGGTGCGAGCCGCAGAGCGCCTGCAAGAGGCGGAGAGGGCTGCGGACCTCGCAGAGTCCGCGGACGAGAAACGAAACCAGGAGCTTGCCCGTCCTCGGGGACGCCCGTCCCATGGCTGCTGGGAAGTTCTTGTGTCCCTTCCCGGTGGCACGTCGGGGTGCAAACCGTCCAGCCGCCCTGCCGGGCGGAAACGCTGACCCTATACCGTTCACCGCCCGATCAAACTCAGCCTCTTGCTCGCCGCAGACTGGAGCCTCCCCATGTCGGGCCCTGGCCGGTGGGAAGGCACCCGCCCCCCCCCCCCGCGGCCTGGGAGGCTTGCGCACCTCGTGCCCGCGCGGCCCGACGCCTCCCGTGGCAAGAAGCCCCACCCCCAGGGCGCTGTCCATCAGGCATACAGGCAAAAACCCTGACAAGGACGCGCGGCAAGGACGCAAGACCCTTGGAAGCCGAAGTTGGGATTCTTTCTGGGGCGGCGGACGACGAAATAAACCTCAGGGACGCAAGAGCCAGGAAGAGCAAGGACGCAAGGGCACCCTGAGCAACGTCGCGCGTCCGTTTTTGACTACAGAGGAAGCGGGCCCGGGAGGGAGAGGGGGTCCTGCAGCACCCCCGCCGCCGTCGGGGCCAAAGGGGGGCCCTCCGCGGGCCCCATGCAGGACCGTCCACAGGACCGGCTCAGGACCGTCCACAGACCACCGGCTCGGGAGGAGCAACCCGGCTCCGGGGAAACACACGCGCCAGGGTCTGGGACCCGCTTTCCTGTGGGCCCCGTTTTTTTTTTTTTTTTTTTTTTTTTTTTTTTTTGTTTTTTTCTGTTTGTTTGTTTTTCTTTTCTGGCGATACACCTCCGCGGGCCTGTGGAGGCCGGAGCGTCTGGCACGGTGTCGTTGTAGTAGGATCGACCTCGAGCCGAGAGCCCAGCCTGAAGGCCTCCCCCTCGGGATCTTGAGGGCCCCGCATCCTCGGCCCCCTCGTGGGGTCTCTCCTGGCTATCCTCTCCAATCGCTCTGACCTCCTCGTGGCTTCCGCGGGCCGCCGGCGCGGCAAGCCACAATGGAGACGAGGGCGCTTACGCGCGACCTTACGCGGGCAGCTTGCGCGCCAACGTCGGCGCAGACGACCCCGTGTTTCTGCGTCGCCCAACTGAGGGTTGGCCATGGATAACGCCGCCGCCTTCATCAGGGGTCTGAAGCCTCATGGAAACACTCTCTCAACGAACGCTCCCACCGCAGGTAGACGGGCCCAGATGGACGACGAGGATCCTTTTAGCTGTCGAGACTGCCGCTTCTGGAGTCCAAGCTGGGAGCACCAACTCGCACAGAAGGCTGGCGTTTTGCCTGCCAATCGGGGCACGGCAGCACATTCCCTACAGGAAGCTGCTCGCCCCTGTCTTGGGCGCCCAGGCAAAAGTTGGAGCAGAAGAAGAAACAACAACACAAACAAAGCACACGCCATGAACGCAAATGTTTCGTGCTCCGCCCGGGACGCCAAAAGTTTATGTTTCAGGGTTCGTTGTTCTTGCTCGATGGAGGCCTCCCAGATTGGGCCAGAATAAATGGGGTGGGGGGATCACACCGCAGCGCCGATGCGGCTTGATCTGCCAGGTGGGAAGCCCATGAATACTTACCCATCGGTCGGAAGAAGTAGGTAGAAACATAAAGTAGGAAGGCGTTGGAAATAGATTGGGTTTCCGCCCGCCTCCTGAAGAGGAAGGAATAGGGAAAACCACTCGACCCTTGAAGTAGGAAGGCGCTGAAAGTATATTGGAATCTGGGAATCCAAAAATACCTACTTTCAACGACCCGTGGGTATGTGCACAAAGGGGCGCAGCGAAGCAAAACCGAGCGCATGCGGGCAAGTGTAGCTGCTGCTCCTCCCCTGGCGACCGGACGCTGCGAACACCCAAAAATCGTGCACAATCACGGCCAGAGCCCGACGCCCTCCTCCTCCTCCTCCTCCTCCTCATCCTCCTCCTCCTCCTCCTCCTCCCCCTCCTACTCCTCCTCCTCCTCCTCCTCCTCCTCCTCCTCCTCCGGACCAGAACATATTTCTCGCACCGGACCTAGATAGACAAGCGCGCTCCAGCACTCGCAGAGTAGCTGCTCCCGACAGGATCTGTCGCATCTGGGCAAACTGATTCCATTGTATCGAAGCAAACAAGCTCCGTTGCACGTTTGCGACTGGGCGCTTTGCGAGTAGTGGAACGCGCTCGGTGAGTAGAGGCCTCCCAGGGTCCGAGCCGACAGCTCGAAGGAACGCGCCGCATCGCCGATGCATCGCCGATGCCTAGGCGACGAGGGCGCTGCACCAGCAGCGTCGGCGTGGAGAACATCGGGCTCCACCTCGAGCCGAATCGCCGAGGCATCGGCGCAGCGGCGCCAGCCCCCCCGGACCCCAGCCACACGCGGACTCCCGCCTGGGGGGCCCATCCCTGACTCCAGATCCGCCCTACTTTGGCTTTTTTCCCAACTAAAAATTGCGTCGGAAATCCACCCGGAAGGAGCCGAACAAGTAGGGCGGAAATTTCTGCACCCAACATACAATCGGGCGAAAATCCACAGAAGTAGGGCGGAAACAACAACAGAAAAGTAGGGCGGAAATTGGCATCAGCGGGGCTTGGAAAATAGGGCGGAAGATCCAAGCCCTACTCACGAATTTCCCCAAAGTAGGGCGGATCCGGAGTCAGGGAGATGCAAAGGGAGCGCCCCGAGGCCGCAGAGCCGAGCGAGGAGAGAGCACCGCGCGAGAGGCCCCAAAGACAGAGAGGCCACGCCGGGAGCCCTCGCGGCGCGAGGCCATCCCCCGCCGCTCGGGGAGGGGATCGACCACAGAAGCGGCCCAGCCCAGGATGGATCGCCACGTCGAATCTTCGGCCCAAGGACGTGCAGGACACGCAGATATCTGCGCGAGCTCTACACGCCTTGTCCGTGGGCTCGGCGAGAAAACATGATGTACCCACACATGGATCTCCACCTCGGATTTCCAGCCCAGGTGCGTCCAATACTCGCAGATCTGCGCAAACTCTACGCGCATGTTCCGTGGACCCGACGAAAACAATGGATTCACCCAATACTTGATCTCCACGTCGAACCTTCAGCCCAAGTCCGCACAAGAGATTCGCACATCTGCGGGAGCTCTACGCATTGCACCCGTGGCCCCGACGAAAAAGATCAACCCTGGGGCGAATCAGTGCTGTAGTCGACCCTCTCCTCGAGCTCGGCTGCGCGCGAGCGCGACCCTATAGGCAAGAGTGACCTCAGGTGCGCGGTGTTTTTGGGGGGCCGCGGCGGGGGCCAGCGCACTTAAGCGCGCAAGACGCTAATTACTGCCGCATGGCGCCCGGCCCTCGGGGAGCCCCCGTGGGCCCCCGCACCACGGGCCACCCCAGTCGGGGAGACGCAAGACCCGGGCACAGGGGACTCGGAACTCCCCGACGAGGTCGTCAACAAAAACGACGAGGCCGAGCCTGCTTTTTTGACGAGGCCTCCCGCGGCGGACGTCCCACGGAACTCCTCCTCGTCAAGATCCGGGGCGCGGATCTTGACAGAAAACGAGGGCGAAGCCGAGTCCTGGCAAACCCGGGTCTTACGCTCCCCCGACCCAGCGAAAGGGCCCCCGCACCACAGGCCACCCCCGCGAAAGGCCCCTCGAACGCCAAGGTGCACTCTGCGCGAGGCCCCCATTCCGCCGAGAGGCGGCCGCGCGGCCGCGCTCCCCGGACCCCCGACGGCATGCTCGGTCCGTGGCGTCGGACAAGACTCAATGGGGCACGAGGACACACAAAGAAATACACACAAATAACATAATGTCCCACATTTTCCCATATGTTGTGGGTTTTTGTCTTCCCGCCCAATTCCCGTATTTTCCCATATTTTCTCTGGGGTCGACGATTAATTGTGTCTGTGTGGTTTTTCCCCTCCTGAAAGACTTGAGCAGGGACCGACCGTCCCAGCATTCCTATAGTCATATACCACGAAACGTTCTGAGAACCCAAAAATGTTCTAAGGACACAAGCAGTGTGCTTAGAGCATGAACCCGATGTGTTGAAACAAGGCAGTCCTATAGCCAGAAATGTGCTAAGAACACTTCGTGGGGACCACAAACAAGTTCTTAGAACATTGTTTGGTGGGGCTGTAGGCGAGTCGGGACGGTTCGCCATTGGGTGCACTGCTTGAAAGACAAGACCAGAGCCAGAGCCCGCGCCGAGGGTGCGGCGGGTGGGCGCCAGGGCGCCGGCATGGGCTGGCCGCTCAGAAGCTGGAGCCGGGCATGTGGGATCCGGGGTCGACCCTCAGAGGCTTCGACCCCTTCCCCGGGGACCGGCTCCTCCTCCCCAATCGACGGCCCCGAGGCCAGGTGCATATTGGGGCCCCTATAGGAGGCCGAGCAGGGCCACGAAACACCTCCCGCGGGTCGTGACTTCTTGCTCCCCGGGCTCGCGAGGCGGCCTCCCAGAGATCCGGCGTCGTGATTTCTTCCATACGGGGTCCCTGGAAATCTCGACCCATTCCCCAGGACCGTTTCTTCATCCGGAGTCGTTTTTTGACAGTCCCGGGGCCCGGCGAGGGCCGCCAGAGGCCGAACATCGAGGAGAACCTCCGCCTTGATTTTTTCGATGCGTCGGAGGCCTGGGCTCGGCCCTCCGCCGAAAGGCGACCGCTCGCCGGCCGCGCTCACCACGCCGCGGGCGCGGGCGGCCACCCCGCCGGCGCGCTCCCCAGCGGTGCCCCCCCCCCTGACTCCGAATCCGCCCTACTTTGGGGAAATTCGTAAGTGGGGCTTGGAATTCCCGCCTTACTTTTCAAGCCCCGCTGATGCCAATTTCTGCCCTCCTTTTCTGTGGCTGTTTCTGTGGATTCCCGCCCTATCTTATGCTGGGTGCAGCACTTTCCGCCCTACTTTTTCGGCCCCTTATAGGTGGATTTCCGACGCAATTTTAAGTTAGAAAAAAAAACAAAGTAGGGCGGATCCGGAGTCAGGGATGGGCCTCCCGGGCGGGAGTCCGCGTGTGGCTGGGGTCCGGGGGGGCTGGCGCCGCTGCGCCGATGCCTCGGCGATTCGGCTCGAGGTGGAGCCCGATGTTCTCCACGCCGACGCTGCTGGTGCAGCGCCCTCGTCGCCGAGGCATCGGCATCGCCGAGGTCGCGGATCCGGAGTCAGGGCGCGGGCGGCCACCCCGCCGGCGCGCTCCCCGGCGGTGCCCCCGCGAGCCCGGGCGGCGCCCCCGGCGGCGCGGGCGGGGCCCAGCCCGCCCAGGCCGCCCACGGCGTCCCGTCCGTGGCGAGGCCGCCGGGGCGCAGCGCCTGCCTTAAGGAGGAGGGGATCGGAGGAGGAGGAGGAGGGAGGAGGAGGAGGAGGAGGAGGAGGAGGAGGAGGGAGGAGGAGGAGGAGAGGAGGAAGGAGGAGGAGGAGAGGAGGAGGAGGAGGAGGAGGAGGAGGAGGAGGAGGACCCCCTCGAGCAATGACGAGAAAATCACGGCGGGAGGTTTTTCACCATGTACGGCCTCCGCGGGCCCCTGCCAGGCCTCGGGGCCGTCAAGAAACGACTCGGGATGAAAGACCGGTCCCGGGGAATGGGTCGAGATCTCGGGGGGGTCGACGTAAACCTCGCGGGGGTCTGGGTCTACACAGTTCAGTGGCCCCAGAGTGGAGTGGTTCGCCGCACCCACGACACATGTGCGCAGAAGGCCCGTGGAGATCTGCGAGCATGATACGATTTGTTTTGTGCACTCGGCGAGAAATTCCATTTGGGAGCCTGTTTCTTTCGATTCAGGCAAGCTTACTTGCATGGCGTTCGCCCTCCCCCCCCCGCCACTCCCCCCCCGTCGCACCTCTTCCATCGAGTACGAGCGTGCAGGTGCCCCGCACCCGTCCATGCAAGTAAATGTGCCAGAATCTAAAAACAGAAAGCTCATACATAATTCAATTGCACGAGACTGCATTTGTGCGCCGAACCCACGAAACATGTGCGCAAGATGCCCGTAGATCTACGAACATGAAACGTATCTTTGTAACACTCGACGAGAAAATCCCGTTTGGGGTAAATCAATGTTGTAGCTGATCCCCTATCATGATTTTTCCATGACGTCGACCCCCAGAGGCTTCGACCTCTTCCCTGGGACCGGCTGTTCCCCCCGAGCTATTTTGTGATACGGCCCCGAGGCCCGGCCGGCACGGGCCCCTGCAAAGGCCGAAGATGGCGAGAAGCCTCCCGTCGTGACTTTTTCCACAACGCGAGGAGGTCCAGGATTGGGGGAACGAGCAAAGACATGGGCATCAACACTCGGACCTCCGAGTTCTCACGCATATATGCCATTGCTCGTCCCCCCCAAATCTTTGCCTCAGCGCGAGGTCTGGGATGCTCGACGCCTGGAGCGCAGGGGCTCCGCCGCCCCGCCCCCCGCAGCGAGGGGCCCGGCCCCGCGGGCGCCCGCGGCGCTGCTGCGCCTGCCCGCGTGGCCCGCGCCGGGCGGCGCGGGGCCCCCGGGGTGGCCCGCGGCGGGGCCGGGCGCGGAGGGGCCGCCGGCGGAGCTGCTGCCGGGCCGCCCGGGCTGCGCCGCGCCGCGCTCGGTGCGCGCCGCAGCCGCTTGCCGCGCACCTGCCAGGGCTGCGCCGGCCGGAGCGGAGCGCGGACTCGGATCGCGGGGCGGATCGCCCCGGATCGGTATCGAATCGTCGCGCCCCGCTACCGGCTGGCCCTGGCCGATGCAGGCGAATAGAGCCGGGTCGCATCGAATTGGAATCGCGGCCCCAGCCGGCGAATCGAATCGCGCTTAGAAGCAGAAAAGCGGCGCAAACGTAAACTGTTGGATCTCTTGGAACCGCGCTGGACCCCCCTCCCTGGCGCGCGGAGCGCGCCAGGGGCGGCACCGGAGGCGCCGCCCCAGGGGGGCCCGGCGCAGATCCAAGAGATCCGCGGAGCGCCAAAAGCTTATGCTTATGCCGTTTTCCCAGACCCCCGACGTCGTGAATTTTTCATGACGTCGACCCCCAGCTGTCTGGACCCATTCCCCGGGACCGGTTTTTCGTCCTGAGTCGTTTTTTGACGGTCCCGAGGGCCAGTAAGGGCCCCCAGAGGCCAAAAATAATGAAAAACCTCCCGTCGTGATCTTTTCATAACTCGAGGGGGTCTGGGTTTGTTGTTCTTCGAGCACCGTGCTCCACAGTGGGCGTCGCAGCCTCTTGCTGGGCGCCTGCTCCCGCGAGTCGCCTGCGGCGCTTGCCCTCCCACCTCTTGCGGAGGACCAGGGCCGAGCCGCAGGCAGCGCTGGACGCCACGATGAGGGCGGCCGCAGCGCCTCCGACGCCCGCAGAGACGGCATTCAACGCCGGCTCTTCCCAGCCGCCGGGTGGCGCGTCCAAGTCCGCGGGGTCCACTTTCAAGACGCCGCCAGCGCTCGAGGGCAACGCGTAGATCCGCCGCCGTGCCATGCGCACGTGATTGGATAGTGCCATGGGATGTGCAGGGATTGTGGCGCGCTCTCGCTCGAAGTGGGCCTCCTGACCCCGAATGCGCCGTGAAATGATGCTGTTCGCAACCGTTGGCCTCCCAAACAACACGGCCTCAAGAGCCCCCGCAGACCCCTGGGAGGAGCACCCGAAAACTACCCCAACCTCCAGGAGACTGCCCGGAGGCCCTCAGGAAACGGTGGCGGAGTGGGCCGCAGTCCACAACATAGCCCCATTAGAAGCCACAAGGGCACTTCTCCATTTGGGTATTCTGCCGCTTCCAAAATCAACAAAGGTAGCAACGGTGTCGTTTTCGGGATCAATCTTCAACAAGCTCCCCGCTTGGTACGGGATGCCGTAGATGGCACCGCCTTCCACCACGGCTCCGGCGCGATATTTGTAGTGAGACCCTGCGAAAGAACCCATCGTGGACACGCTGTCCACACTGCCGTCTTCAGCGGTCGCTATCCGCAAGATCGACTCCGCCTTGTCTGGCAGAGCATAGATAATGCCAGCTGAACTGACGATGCTGAAATGCCACTGGTAGAAGCCCGTGTTCGTAAAAGAGTCGAGCAAGCTAACAACTTCTGTGTTCGTGTCGATCCTGAGCACGCTGGAGGCGCTGTACGGCGCCGCATAGATGGCTCCGTTCCGCACCTCCACGCCGTGAGCCCACTTGCAGCTGGTCCCCTCACTGCTCACGTCGCCGAGAGTGCTCACGGAGTCGCTTGCTGGGTCGATCCTGAGCACCGAGCCCGCACTGCAGGGGATGCCGTAGATCACCCCCGTGGACGCAAGCACCCCGTGCTGCCACTTCGAGGGGCCGGCCCCCGGGCCCGCCGCGGAGCTCGGCGCCGAGATCTGGGTCACCATGCCGCGGAGCGGGTCGACTTTGAGCACCGCGCTGGCGTAGAACGGGATGCCGTAGATCGCACCGTTCGCGGCCACGACGGCGTGCTTCCACTTGTAGCTGCCGCTGCCGATGTCCCCGGAGCCCAAGAAGGAGACGGTGTCTTCCGCCGTGTCGATCTCCAGCACCGCGGATGCGGAGTCTGGGATGCAATAGACGTGGTCGTTGGCGGCGAGGACGCCGTGCCCCCACTTGAAGGAGCCGGTGCCCACGTCTCCGAAGACGGAAACGACGTCACTGGCAGGGTCGACCTTTAGCACCGCTGATGCGTGCAGAGGGCACGCGTAGATGGCGCCGTTCGAAGCCACGACTCCTCCCCGGTACTTGAGAATACCGCCGCTGCCTGGCAAGTCGATGACCTCTGCAGTGCCGTCTTCGTCGGCAATGTCGACCACCAGACTGGTCACGGTATCCTCGGAGAGCAGCTGCTGGTCCGACCCGATGCTGCCGATGATGGCAACTGTCTCGCCGCCTGCGAGCACAGTGGGCCAAAGGCCTGCACCGCGCAGCATGGCGCCACGGGCGAACCAACAACACCACCGCCGCGCCGACATCCATCTCCCAGCCCGCCGCCCGCGCCCGCGCGAGCTGAAGAACCCGTCGCCCTCTTGAGCAAGAATGGCTACGGGGGAGGGGGGAAGACAAAGAATAGGGGCAAGACGAAGACGGCTTTACATTGAGGCCATCCGGTCTTTTAGGCTCTGAAGCCTTCCGCGAACAACAAACGATGCCAACGCGAGGTCCTAGCTACACTCGTATAAAAAACCCTAACGCCAACGCTGCATGATAAGGCACATCATCGGCACGGCACGGCGACTGCCTCCCAAGTCGAAAACCAGGCACGGTACGGCACAGCACCACCTCGCATGCTGAAAACCTAGCACGACACGGCCCGTCAATGCGCAGGGACCTCTGGGAATGTGCGCTTACCCGTCGGTCGGAAGAAACAGGTAGAAACATGGAGCAGGAAGGCGTGGGACGCCACTCGATCATTGAGGTAGAAAGGAAGGCGCTTGAAGTAGACTGGCATCTGGGAACCCAAAGCTACCTACTTTCAACGACCGATGGGTATGTGTCCGGCACGTGCCCGAGGAGTGGACAAAACACCGCTGCAGCACAACCCCCCCTTGACCGACCACGGCCCGGGACCGCAAGCCTGCAGCGGGCGCGCAGGCCTGCAAGCACACCGCGGGCGCGGCACCGCCTCGAAAACCGAGAGAGGGGAGCAACGGCAACTCGCGGATCGTGCTGGCAACGTGCGGGGTTCCACCAATCGACCAAACGAATAAACAGCATCACGTGGATGACCGTAGGTAGGGTCGACGGACCACACCGCACCGCCCATGCATCGCCCGTGCGATTCGGCGATGCCTCGGCGACGTCGGCGATGCATCGGCGACGGCGGCGTGGGGAAACACACAGTCTCCCCTAGAAGAGGACAAATAATAATAATCGCACGATAAACATAAACTGTTGGCGTTCCAGCCGGATTGGTTGGAGCCGCGCCGCGCCCCCCCCGGCGGCGCCTCCGGCGCCGCCCCTGGCGCGCTCCGCCAGGGAAGGGGGGGGTCCGGCGCAGATGCAACAAGTCCGTGCGAAACGCCAAAGGTTTATGTCTATGCCTTTTTTGTTCCTTCGACTTGCTCTTCCAAACAACCTACGAGTAATTCCTCCAACCAACCTACGAATAACCTTCTACCAACCTACGAATAACTCCTCCAACCAACCTACGAATAACTCCTCCAACCAATGCCACAAACTTTTTTGTCTTGCTCCTCCGACCAACCTGCGAATCACCCCTTCAAGGATCAGCCGCCGATCTGCGCACCTGCGTGACGAGCACGTCTGCCTGCTGAAACTTCCTGCAACGACTCTCCTCAACTGATGGGCATGGGACTCCACGATGCTGGGCAGCACTGGTCAAACACACTTGGAGGCGGCAAGGGGATGGGTGGGCCCCGAGACCATCAGACAAACGGGGAAAACAATGGCAATTCCGCTCAAAATCTGTCCACGGGCCCCTCCAGGGGGCCCACTTGGTACGGATGTTCACCGCGGATTCGTCTGTGACGGTCCCGAAAACGGCCCAAGAGGCCCTCAAGACACCCCAAGAGGCCGCTAAAAGAGCCCAGAAGACGCCCAAATCGCCCCATTCCCTCAGGATATATATATATATATATATATACACACATACATACAAGACTGCATTGGCGCTGCGCGCCATGCACCTTGGTCATTTGGATTTCGCGGGCTAGCGGAATGCGAGCGTGCGTGCATGCGCGCACACATGCGGCTATGAATGCATAATACATATGTATATACATATGTACGTTTGTATGGATATGTACATGTATATGCAAATGGTCAGTGTAGCTATGTGTGCGCATACACATGCGTATATCAGGCGGTAGTGGCCTGACCAGTTGCTCGTATCATCGCGCCACTAAGAGGCGCGAGGGTCTCAGGCAAACGTAGTCAGACTACCATGGGAAAGTGCGTCGCCGAGGTCAGTGTTGCGAGGGCGTCCCGGGTGAAAATGGCCTGAACAACTCCGCTCAGGGGGGGGCATGTCCGAAGTCAGCCGTGCGAGGAAGTTTCAAGAAAGGAGTGGTCTGAACACCTCTGCTCGGGGCATCCTTGAACTTCGAGTTGCGAGAAGTCGCGCGCGAATGTGGCCGAACCACCATGGCGCAAGGCACCTCCGAAGTGAGACTTGCGAGAGTGTCTCAGGCGACAGCGGCTGGAACACCTCAACTGAGAGTGTCTCGGGCCCCAGAGCTGCGATTATGTCTCCAGCGAATACGGCGGGGCCGATGCGAAGCAAGGCGCTTCTGAGCTCGGAGTTGCGAGCGTATATCTGGCGAAGTTGATTAGACTACTTTCCGTCATCTCTTCTTCCTCCTTCCCTTTTTCCTTTCCTCCTCCCCCCCCTCTTCCCCCTCCTCCTCCTCCTCCTCCTCCTCCTCCTCGTGTTCCTCCTCCTCTTCCCCCCCCCCTCTCCGCCTCTTTTGTCGTCCATTCCCCCCATCCCTGGCGGCGCGGCGCGGCGCCGCTCGGCCTCTCTGCGAGTCAAGCGGAGGAGGAGGAGGAAAAGGAGGAGGAGGACGTTGCAAGTGTTCGCGCGGCCGTGAGTCCCCAGGGAGTGTTTCCCCAGGATGTATGCTGAAACCGAAGGTTCCCGGCGGCCTGATCTCCGAAATGTCACAAAAACCCAGGTTCCCAACAGCGCGTCCGGATGAGATGGTGTCGCGGCCCCGACGGTTTGCACTGAGTGTTGCGACAAGCTCAGTCGAGGCGGAAGGAGGAACATGAGGAGGATGAGGAGAAGGAGGAGGAGGAAGAGGAGGAGGATGAAGAGGAGGAAGAGGATGAAGAGGACAGATTCTGTGGATATCTGGGGTGCAGCCGAGGTGTCGCGGAAGAAATCCGCAGCAGAGACTTCGGAGAGTGAGGAGAGCTGCTTCTGCTAGACCTTTGGCGGGGCGGAACGTGAAACATCACGGGGAATTAGGAGAAGGAGGAGGAGGGAGGAGGTAGAGGAGGAAGAGAATGAGGAAGAGGAGGAGGAACTCTTGGGTCCTTCGGTGGTTTGAACGGAAGGTGGCCTCGCTGCGCCATTGGATACGACAACGACGACGACGAAGAAGGCGACGACAAAGAGAAGGGATAATGGGAGGGGGAGACCGCTGTGTTGGGATCTCGTGGTGCGCCTCTCGGGGCCCTCTGGGAGGCAGTTTTGAAGCGTTTTGGGCGTGTTTTGGGGTTCTTGGGATCTTTGTGGGGCCTCCTGGGGGCCTCTTGGGGGCTCCTTGTGGCCTCTTGGGAGCCTCTTGGGGCCTCATGGGGCTCTCTCCGGGCCTCTTGGGGCCCTCTCGCGGCGGAAAATTTAGTTTTTGAATTTTTGGGCGCCCTCTTGGGTCTCTCTTGGGGCCGTCTTGGTGCTCTCTTGGGCCGTCTTGGGCGCCTCTTGGGCGGTCTCGGAGCCCTCCTGGACCGTGTTGGGGCCTTCTTGGGGGCCTCTTGGGCAGTACTGGGGCGATCTAGGGAGCCTCTTGGGCCATTGTGGAGCGTCGGGAAGCGGGAAAAGCGAGAAGGCCAACAACATAGAAAAACACACACAGGAAAAACAACAATTGTAGCCTCTCGGGGCTCTCTTGGGAGGCCTCTTGGGGGTCTCTGGGGGCGTCTTGGACGCGTCTTGGGCAGTCTTGGGCCCAGATTGGGCGTCTTGGGCCGATCTTTGGGTGTCTCGGGGCCCTCTTTGGCCGCCGTGGGGTTTTTTTTCGCGTCGCACTCGCAGGACAGAACCGAAGCACTCTGCAGGAGCGCCCCAAAGGCTCGGGGAGGCCGAAATTCGTGGGGGGGGGGGGGGGGGGGGGCACCGTGTGCCGTTTTTCCGGGGTCCCCGGCCCTGTAAAAATATACGTAGCTCCCCGCAATTGCGGATAAGAGTGAGGGGGCGGGCGCGGGCGACGCGGGCGTCGTCGAGCCGGCGGACCTCGTGGCCCCCACCTTCCCTGTCGATGGCGCTCCTCCTCCTCCTCCTCCTCCTCCTCCTCCTCCTCCTCCTCCTCCTCCTCCTCCTCCTCCTCTCCTCCTCCTCCCCTCCTCCTCCCCCTCCTCTTCCTCGTCCTCGTCCTCGTCGTCATCGTCGTCGTCATCCTCCTCCTCCTCCACCTCGTCCTCCTCCTCCTCCTCCTCTTCTTCCTCGTCCTCCCTCTCCCCCCCTCGTCCTTCCACCATCGTCCTCCCATTGTCGTCCACCCCTCATCGGCCTCCATCATCGTCCTCCCATTGTCGTCATCATCATCATCATCCTCCCCCTCCTCCCCCTCCTCGTCCTCCTCCTCCCCCTCCTCCCCCTCCTCGTCCTCCTGCTCCTCCTCCTCCTCCTCTTTCTCCACATTCTCCTTACATCCTCTCTTCTTTCGCGTCCTCCTCGTCCCCTGTTTACTCCTCCTGCCTCCCCCTCCTTTCCCAAGATAACGGCAACGCAATCCTTTTTTCCACTTTATGCTCCCCGACTTCTCTGATCAAGGCAACTCGCCAGGGCAAAGTTGCTGGACGGGCTGGTGTGGATGCGCGGGGCTTGAAGAGGTCGTTGCGGGCTCAGACGGCATGCAAAAATCCGCCGCCGCGCTTGTGCGGCATTGGTTTGTTCAGTGAACGTGGTTTGGGTCGCGGGTGGGTCGCGGGCTCTCCACCTCCACCTAGAAGGAATGCAAAAGCAGCCCGCCGCATGCGCCGAACAAATTGGTTTGTACACTGAACGTGGAATGGGTCGCGGGTGGGCCGCGGGTTCTCCACCCGGATCGGATGCAAAAGATGCCCGCCGCAGGCGCCGAAAAGTTTGGTTTGTACCCTGAACGTGGTCGCGGGTGGGCCGCGGGCTCTCCACCTGAAACGAATGCAAAAGATGCCCGCCGCAGGCGCCGAAAAATGTGGTTTGTACACTGAACGTGGTTTGGGTCGCGGGTTGGTCGCGAGTTGGTCGCGGGCTCTCCACCTGGAAGGAATGCAAAAAAAAACCCGCCGCGGGCGCCGAAAATCGTGGTTTGTACCTTGAACGTGGTTTGGGTCGAAGGTGGGTCGCGGGTGGGTCGCG